CAGGACTGATTGTGAAGGCTGTAAATGTAAAAGTAGACATTTTGTGGCAAGGAGGGGAGTGATCAACTGTGCAGGCTAGGAGTGGAGGTCCCTGGAACCATGAAGGGAGAAGAGCGGAGAGCGGAACCCTACCCAGAGAGGCAGCAATCCCCCAGATGGAGGCAGAGATGATGATGTGGAGAGATGGAGCAGCTGGGGACCCAGGGAGGGAGAGGGCCTGTGTGCTGACGACTGGAGGAGGGTGGGGGGGAGCAGGCTTATAGGATGTACCCTTTCGTTGACTGGTGATGCGTGGAGAGGATTGTAACCATGGCAATGAAACAATATACGATAGGATGAATGTAAAGCTGATATTCTCCTCCCATGTAAACTATCACATATTTAAAAAAAAAAAAAAAACTTTTAAAAAAAGAAAAAGAAATAAAAGCCATGACACAAATAGATACATGCACACCCATATTCACTGCAGCACTACTCTCAATAGCAAAGAGATGGAGACAGCCTAAATACCCATCAATAGAAGAATAGTTAAACTTTGATACATACACACAACGGAATACTGCAAAACGCTTAAGAATAACAATGAATCTGCAAAACCCCTCACAAAATGATGAACCTGGAGGACATTATGATGAGTGATGAAATTAGTTAATCACAAAAGGCTAAATATTGTACGAGACAACTGCTATAAAAGTTTTCTTGCTAAAGGAAACATTCTGTGTGATGGTTACAGGGCAGAGGGGAAGGGAAAAGTATTCACAAGCTAGAGGATAGACACATATTAACATGGGTGATGGGGCAGGCAATATACAAGAGGGAGACTGGCAAAGGAAAGATGAAGGCAGCAGGAGACAGAGGGAGGAATGCAAGCGTTCAAGTGAATAGTGATAAATACTGTTAACTGAGAATAAATGGAGGGGATTATAATCACTGTAATGAAGCAAAGTATACGATTTGTTGAATGTGAAACTGATGATCTACTCCGTAAACCTTCACTAAATTCACAATAAAGTTAACAAGAAAAAAAAACTTTACCAAAAAAGTGAAAAGACAAGCTACCAACTAGGAGATTATCTTCAGAAACCATAGTTCAACAAGAATCTAATAACCAAAATATATATAAAAGTTCAACAACTGTACAACAAAAAGGCAAATAATCTGATCATAAAATGGTCCAAGGACTAAACAGACATTTCACCAAAGAAGACATTCAAAATGACAACACATGGACAACTGTTCAGTGTCATTTAATCATCAGAGAGAAGCAAATCAAAACCAAAGTGAGATATAATTTCCCTCCCACCAAGATGTTTTTATTAAAAAAACAGAAAATAATAAATGGTGGCAAGAATGTGAGAAAATTGGAACCTTATCCATTGCTAGTGGGAATGGAAAATGGAAAACAGTATGGTGGTTCCTCAAAAAACTAAACTAGATCATGTTGTTGTTGTTGTTGCCATCAAGTCGGTTGTGACTCAGCAACCCCAATTAGGGTTTTCAAGGAGCAACCGGTGGGCATAAACTGTCGACCTTGAAGTTAACAGTCCAGTGTTTATCCTATAGCGCCACACCAGGAGTCCATCATATGTTCCAGCAATTCCACCTACAGGATTCGAAAGCAGAGACTCAAATAGAAATTTGTATTACCAATGCTCAATGTAGCACTATTCACAATAGCCAGAAGGTGGAAACAACCTAAATGAACAACAGACAAAAGGATAAACAAAATATGGTACGTATATGCAATAGAATGCTGTTGTTAAATGCCGTCAAGTTGTTTCTGACTCATAATGATCCTGCATAGGGTTTCAAAGGAGCAGCTGGTGAGTTTGAACCACCAACCGCATGAGTGGCATTCCAGTGCTTATCCTACAGAGCCAGCCCAGGACTCCTATACAACAGAATATTACTTTTCAATATTAAGAGTAATCGTAGAAGAATTGATGCTTTTGAGGTATGGTGTTGGAGGAGAATACTGAAAGTACCATGGGCTGCTAGAAGAACCAATAGATCTGTTTTGGAAGAAGTGCAGCCAGAATGCTCCTTGGAAGCCAAGACGGCCAAACTTCGCCTCTCATACTTCGGACATATTGTCAGGAGGGACCAGTTGCTGGAGAAGGATATCATGTTTGGTAAGGTGGAGGGTCAGAGAAAAAGAGGAAGACCC